ATCCAAGACTGGCCACCTCATGCCATACTTGCTAACGTGTACCTTTTATCCACTCTAGGTGTGGAGATAGACTGGTCCAGTGATGTGAGGAGGAGGATCCAGGAGAGCTCATATATCCAGGAGCAGTACGTCCTTACTCGCTGCTCCCTCAGCAGTGAGCGGAGTCTACAAACACAGTCCCACTCACACATACACGCCTCGTCCAACTCTGACTCTGCAGGTGGGGTCTTTCTGACTGACCCTCACTCCTCTGGTTCAGTGCTGGATACAGGGTCTCTACCCCAAGGTCTTGAAAAGATGCCCCCTCCAGAACAGAGATCATCCCTGTCTCGCTGGGCAGACCCTGCATGGCAACAAAACCTCTCAGTGGAGACCCCTGACAACAGGGCAGAAAAGGTAAGAATGATTGTAACCCCTAAAGCAATTTTCTGTGTTCCTGCTGGCAGAATCTAGATGGAACATGACATGAGAAGATACTTTCACCACCACTGCAAAATAGTTTGACAGCAGAAAATGTTTACATCTATCAGTCCGGTGAATCAAAGAAATTTTTTACCCACTACTTTGTGACAAATTGCAACAATAATAGTGGGAAAAATCTATTGTAGCTTTTATACCCATTTATCCACCAACACAGTGAACCAGAACACAACAATGCCACAAGACATGGTGTGTATTGAGGGGAGCAACCTCTAGCTTTGTTGCTCTTAGTTGACAGTCATCATTCAGGGTTGTTGAAAAGGGTTCAGGAAAAGATTGTACATCCCAGGTTGAGGCAAAGTACTGCAAGCAGCCAACAGACATACTTCACAGGAGTTTATTACTCCTGGGTTGTACAAAATATCACAAATACAAACTGATAACCCCAACCTTTTTTTCATTATAGAAATGTGTTGTTGCAGTGAAAAATAAAATAAAACGCTAATCTACTTTTTTAATCCTGTTTGATTTCCCCTCTTTTACAACCAGAGTGCGCATCTGGATGGAGGTGAAGAGTGTCGTAGGAGACATAAAGCTCTGGCCCGTTCAACCATGGCAGCCCGGAGTTTCTCATCCCCTCAGGGCGAACTGGAGATGCATCGCCTGAGGAGAGCTCTAGAGAGGGTCTCCTTTGACCAAACGCTGGGAGGGAGGCTGGACGAAAGCGATGGGGAGACAAAGCCCCCATCAGGAGGGACTCTGTCCCGCAGGAGCCTCACTGACTCCAGTAAGCTGTAGTACTATGAAAAGCAGGATTATCCTTCCTGTTTTGCCTCTAACAAATTCCTGTCTCTCTCTCTTTCTCACTCTGACCCTCAGACGGACTCCTGTTCCCTGCGTCTCCTCTGGACTGGGACAGCTTCACAGACCCAGAGTACCTCTTCACTGCTGTTCCACCAGAGGATCCCCCACCGGGCCAGTGCCGCTCGCTCATTCATGGCCTGCTGAGCGGCAGACCTGTGTCCTGGGAGGTCACTGTGGACCTGGGGCACCTCTGGACCCCTGAGGGCCAGGAGATACCAGGAGTTGAGGGATGTGGAGGAAGAGGAGGAGGAGGAGGGGAAGAAGGAAGAGGAGGGGAACCATGGGAGGAGATCATTCATCAACTAACTGCTCGCTCTGTTATAAGGGACTTTGAGAAACTGGCAGAGAAGGAGAGTGACATTGGACATGGTGAGGCTTAACTACTTACCTAAACACTTATCTCGGTGATCAATTGAAAGCAAAGTCATATTAAGTAACATAGTATACATACTGTCTACCCTTTACCGTTTCTTAGGTTCAGCTAAGCGATACCGTATGAAGGCTATCCAGACCAGTAAGCACTGTAACATTGTCTGCATGTACACGGCCTTCACTACCACTGACAGCAATCCCAACAAAGGCTTGCCAGACGTCGACGTCCAAAGCACAGGTGTGGCTTACTACCAACTCACACATGAATTCCCTGAATTCGGAATGCCAGGGAGGTTCTGTTGAAAGATGTTATTGAGTTGCAATATGGGAATTGTAGTATTCAGTGTCTTCTGTTTTTGATTCACGGTCTGGAATCGGTTTCTTGTGGGTCCGCCAGCTTAATTAAAGCGCATGCAAAATCACTGTGCACCTTTAATATGAACTTTTATTGGAGCATCGTTTCAACCAGCATTCATAGATACGACTGTTCTTACAAACAGATTTGTGTCATATAAAGCCTGGGTAAAAATATATGGACCAGGTTACAGTTTGAATGCCACATTTGAGTGTGTTTTTGTGCTGTGTGTGTGTGTGTGTGTGTGTGTGTGTGTAGGGATGCATTTGGGGAACAGGCGGAGTTCCCAGTCAGGCAGTCGCAGGCAGAGGGCTTATTCTGTCGGTTTGGGCAGACGGCGCACCAGTAGAGACAGTGAAGAGATGGAGGACACCTTTAACTCTACAGGTAGAACAGACTGAATGCTACCACCGCCCATTTCTGTTGTCAAGACTTTAGGTCATCAACAATGTTTGTATCTCTCAGACAGAGATGACACTCCTGCCTCACCCTGTAGCCTTACATCCTGGGACTCTAGTAAGTATTGCTGTCGTCTCAATCAGTGAAAACATTGTAGTGTCAGTGTAGTCTCAAGGTTAGAGGCGTCTGACCAGAAAGCCAGTGCAAAACTCGAGGTGAGTCTGAATGGAAGGAGATAAGTTCTGCTCTCCCTCTCCCTTGGCTTGATTCTACACAACAGCAACCCCTGAGGTAGTTCTTAAAGGACTACTTCAATAATAAAATAAAACCAAAACTATCTGCATGGCATGTATTTTGGTTTTATTTACCCAAGTTTTGAGATGTCTGTCTCTTAAGGTGTCTGACTCTACCCCAACACAATGGAAGTATACGGATTTTATTTTGTGGTGCTCACAGCAACATCCAGAGACACTGCATAATCCACAAAACATGTTGTAAACCACTTTTAAAGGCACCATTGGGACTATGTAGAAAGTGGTTCTCTTAAAAACCATTTACAGTGAGACACAAATGTTTGACAGAGATTGTGTCATGTATAGGTGAACTGAGCCTTTGAACTGGGTTATGCCACATCACTTTATACCTGTACTGATGAAACAATTGTTTAATGTTTTATTCCATGCTACTGTCTCAGGTGTAGGGGGCAGTGCGTACTCTGCTACAGCCCCAGCAATAACAGCCGCCTCGTGCACTCGTTCACAGCGATCTATTGAGAGCAAATCAATGGAGAGCTTCTTTGGCACCAGGTAAGACTTTTTTTGAATGTCATATTACACTATAAAGGGGATTGCAACATTTGATTGCAATTACCATATAGCAGAATTTGTATACATGTCTTGAAGTTCCTCCTTGTTAAAGTCTGCTTGGCATACTATGTATTTTTGAGACTGTTGTCCTTGACATATTTACTGTTTTTTGAGTGATTTTTGGCACAGGTGTTTTGGTGAGCAGGCATCTGTGAGGGGTGTATATTATGTCTATATGCAAATGTATATTCTATATATACTATTTTTTATACATATTCCAGATTTCCACTGGGGAGACTCAGGTCCTCTATTTCATCTGGAAAGCAGGTTCCTCTCAAGTCCCACTGTCTGTCTGCAGAGACCGAGAAACAACCTGAAACTGAAGCTCCAGACTACCTGCCCCTGGTGAGCTGTGCAGACAACTACAACGTGTATATTTATCTACACACAAACACATTTATTAATTTGTGTCTATATGGTGTCTAATTAGGTGCATCTGCAGCTGGCATCAGGAGCTTTTCTTCTGACAGAGATCTACTCTGACTGTGTCCAGATCCCTTTGGACCGCCTGAAGAGGGCTTCACCCTACAGCCTCCACCGCCGCAGCCTCAGCCCACCCTTCCGCTGCACATCTCCCAGTGCTCCATCTTTATCCACCTCTACTAAGCCTCCTGGTGCTCCTACTCACCATGTTACCTTTTCTCCTTCTTCCTGCTCCCTCACCAAACCAACTGCACCTCCTTTCCACCACACTCCAGACGACACTCCCCTGATGCTGGAAGCAAGACTTCGCCGAAGACATCTGTCCGACCGAGATCCAGTCACCTCTCCCCCTGACCTTCCCAGCTCTGAGGAGGGCTCCCTGGAGCTATCTGTTGGCCCCTCTCCGAGCCAGAGCCACGGCCAGGCAGATAGCGGTCGTGGATCAGAGACGGATGTATGTGAAGGCTCTTCAGGAGAGCCAGCCGACCTCCAGGGGAGCAGCAAGTTGGCTCAAGAGGACCTGGAGGGCTCGAGCTGGGCCACAGCTGTGGCTCTAGCCTGGCTTGAGCACCGTTGTGCTGGCTACTTCATGGAGTGGGAGCTGGTGGCAGCAAAAGCAGACTTCTGGCTGCGCTGTCAGGAGCTACCTGAGGGAGTGGACCTGGCAGGGCTGAAGGGAGCCGCCAGGCAGCTGTTCCTGCTGCTGCGCCACTGGGATGAGAACATCAAACTAAACATGCTGTGTTATAACCCCAATAATATGTGAGACAATGATCTCTGAGCCAAATCTACTGATTAGCATACTCACTTGTTACCAATGATAGTGACTCATAGGAAGCAATGCCTTTACATGGAAAAGTAAATCCTGTATTTTAACTGCAGGATCAACTAATACCATAACCCAGTGCCAAGTTCATTCTAATATTAAGTTGCACATGAAATATTTTACTGATGTAAGACTTTATATTTATGTGAGAAGAATACTCTTTACATGAGATAGACCAAGTGGCCTTTTATTATAACTATGCTTTATGCAATCACAAGAATGCCTTGACTATCTGAATAGGCTTTTTGTAGTCTATAAGTAGTCGATGTAGTGCATTACTTATTGCCAAATGTATAATCACAGTCAATCGGTGTTGAATGGGAATGAGTTTGATTAACAGGATGATTATTTGATAAACTAATGAGATATTACTTTAAATAATGAAATTGTTGTTGGGAAATTGGGAATTTAGCCACTTCTTGTAACGTGTAACAAAAACCAGGAGAAAACACAAAGAGAAGGAAAAAAATAGACGTTAAGTGGCATCTCTGTTTAATATAAAATGTCACACTTTTGCTGCCTCAGTCTGCTTATTTTTCACATTAAATCTACATTATAGGCTTATGAGTGTGGTGACCCACTCTCAACAGTGGATGAACGAATTACGTAACGAATCAGAAATGATTGTCTACAGCTTAGTTTTACACATTTATGTAAAATGACTACTGGAAAATAGTTTTGGCCTGGTACTGGAGAATACTGCAACTACTGTAGCAAGTGAAAATGTCATTGATGCAATTAATTTAAAGCTTTTGGAGCCAAGTTTAAGTTGTGTATCACATTAATAATATTCTTCAATATAGTGCATTCTTAATACAATGTACAAGATCATTTATGCACTGGTAAATAACAGGTTTTGATAATATCACAATATCCAACAAGGGAATCGGGCAGAGTGCAGATTTAATAATGCGATAATTTGTAGAAATATAGCCTATGTAACACATTCTTTCAAAACCGCAAAACATTCATAATTTCCTCCTAGCACTGTACTCCACTCTTCTTATTATGTATCTGAAAATGAAACCTGAGAATCCATATTTCCTTTCTCTTTTCATCTCTTCAACTGCAAGCCATTTCATCATGTAGGTGTCTCTTTGCACACTGCGCCCACACGTTAGCTTTCTTCACTTTTAGCAGCGATCTGAGATGAGAAGTATCAAATGGCTCCTTGTATTCACTCGTAACAGTCTACCCCAGTGACCTCCCTCTGCACTGGAGTTGTGAAGATCAAAGAGAGGAGGAAGATGAAGGCTGTTCGGCAGCTGATTAGACTAAATACAACGCCGGTCCGATCAGGCTGTGGCTCACTGGCGTTTGTCTTTGGCAGGTGTGTCTTCTTGGGTTTCTGCTGGGGCTGAAGGCAGGGGCGGAGCCAGCCACAGAGAGAGTAGGATGATGAGGTGACAGACGTGGAGGGCGGCTGAGCTGCTGTTAGTAGAGGGGTAGGTGTTCCACGAAAGCTCAATCAGACCCAGGATCAGGACCCTGAACACAAGGGGAAAATGAGAGAGCATTAACGTGTGATTGATTTATGTGAAGGGAACTTGTGGTTTAGACTCCCCCTTACCTGAGCAGGTGGGCAAGCTTCTTGACTCCTCCACTCCAGAGCAGGTAAGGCAGCGTGTGGAAGTACCAGACGTAGAACTGGTAGTGCAACGAACGGCTGAAGCACATGCCAATGAAGTTAGAGGTGAACAGAATCAGTACAATCTGTGATTGTCTGTTAAGGTTTGACAAAAGAGCCAATGACTACTGGGAACATCATTCATTTATACTCTCTGACATATTCAGGAAATTTCTATTTGACACCTAGCAGTATAAGTAATAGTGTTGCTTACAATCCTAGTTAATGAGAGTTAATCCTAGTCCTTTAATGAACAATATTCAGTAGATTCAAAGGATATGATCAACAGTGTTTTTCTGAGCAGGGTTTTTTCTCTTGCTTGGATCCTTGAGGAGTTCAAAGATGCTTTCTCCTGGTCTGGTAAGAGAGAAAATAGAGAAATAAAAGTCTATAATTCCACCTCAATGAGTACAGTGTACAGTAAGCGATAGAGCACAAGTTGTTAACACCTTTGTTAACTTCAAAAAGTCATATTTGTGAAAATCTGTGACTGACTCAATATTGTACGTATAATATCTGGCAACCAATCAGGGTCCATGAGATCAACTACTGACTGAGCCAACGCCTGTGGTGTTGTGGAACAAAAACTGGCATGATTTGAACCCTCCGCAATTTATTCCAGCTGAACTCCAACGATAATGCCGTGAGTAACCTTGGCACAGCCAAAGTTAGTCTCACCTCTTCCAACGGCGGAGAGCGAAGAGCAGCAGGGTGAGCAGGTGGGCAGCCAGCAGGAGTAAGTGGAAGTACCGATTCAAAAAGAGCCATTCTGGCAGGAAGCGCCAGTTGACCGTCCACTTGAACATAAACTGACGGCCAAGATCAAACGCCCGGCTCAAATAGCCAAACGGATTCTCCAGGAGGAAAGGCAGACCCAGCAAAAGCTGCAATATCAAGACAGATACATTTTAAGATTATGCTTGGCAATAGTGAACAACATTAAAAAGTATTTTAGTATGCCAGTAAAACTGTTTTATAGGGAATATTTTACCTGTATGGCCGCACACAGAGAAAGTCTGGGGATTGTCCTGATTAGACCAAACTCAGAGAGGAGGAGGAGTAGCAGCCCGGGAGCAAAAAGCAGCACATTCATTTTCACAGACACTGCTAAACTGTCAGAAAGAGAGTAAGATTGAGTTGTAATTTTACATGCCATGGTGAATTTGGTACAAAGATTCGCAAAGAAACATATGCCACCTGATACATACTCCTCTTGGTCAACACAAAAAGCCATCACATGAAAAGCTGCACTGGTCTGTTCAGGAGTCCACACTTGCCTGTAAATGCCGCAGCCCAGGGTCCAGTATCCATCCATGAAGAGGTTGACAGCTGCAAACAGCAGCATCATGGCCACTGGATCATTAAACAGACGCAGCACAAAGATGGAGTGGATCCGATAAGAAGCGCAGCACACAAAGAAGAACACGTAGGGAGGAACCTGAAAAAACAACAACAAAGAAATAAACAAATATTATGGCAATACAGGGAAATTACACTCTATGAACTCTAAAAATGACCTAAAAGGCATATAAAGGAATACAGTCTCACATTAAGTCAATGGCTTCATGAGCATTCAAAACAAAACACAGCAGTTTAATAGTGTATCGCAGCAAATTCCACATGAATGAGGCTTTTGTCACCAACCTTCTTAGTGCGATAGTATATCCTGAAGACGAGAAGCAGTGTGATGAGGTAGAAAACAGCAAAAAGGTACTGGCCCAGACGAATGTTCACCCCATGGTTGGTGATGTAGTAGAGAGCTGTGAAGATGTAGACAAAGCCAGCCGGATACCTGCAACAACAACGTACTCATTTATCCAACACTGAAAACTACACCCAACTACAGGATGGAGAGAACTACATCACTAAAAAGCCATTGATACTCACACCAAGGGGCCGGTGTCTCCTTTGAGCTGGGTGTAGTCGTAGGTACCATTGATGACGCCCTCTACTTCATCCATGTAGGCTTTCCAGTCTATCTCAGTGTCTGCAGTAAAGAACATAAAACAGTGATCATGAATGATGGGGAAGGTTTGTTTAGTCGCCGTTGTTATTTCTATGATCAACAGTATACATTTTTCCACTGCAATTTGAATTCCTTTATCTTATCAAAAATCTTCTATTTTGTATATGAAGCCTGTGTTATATGAAACAAACTCTTTGCATTGGCGAGTCTTTAATGAGAAACATCTTGGTATGATCATTAGAATTATAGTACATTTTAATTTGCTCTGTCAATCTACAATTAATCTACTAATTGTTTCATTAGTTCACTAGTGCTGAATTAATTGGTTAGCCTGATATATAACTGCCAATTACTTTGATAACTGATTAATGATTTTAGTCAATTGTAAAGCAAAAAAAAAAAAAAACATTCACTGACTCCAGCTTCTCATCTTTGACTATTCGCTGGTTTTATTTGTTTTACATCACTGCAAACTGAAATAGCTTTAGGTTTTAGACTTTCTCATGGGCAGCTTTCACAATTTTCTGTTATTTAAACATTTAATTGATTAATCAAAAATAATAATAAAAAGATGAATTGATGATGAAATGATCACTGATGATAACTGTCGCAGCCCTACATTAGACAAAGAAGTAGACAATGAGATGACATTGTACAAACAATGTACAGTATGAAAACTCTGTATAATGACAAACTAAAACAAACTAATGCATACTCATATATATCAGCTAATAGTTATTAGCATGCTTCTAGAAGTTTACAGTAATCTCAGTGGCTAGATCAAGTTCTGAAGATAGCCGTCGCTGAAAATAATGAATGTCATTTAACACTACAACAGAACAGACGATTGCAAGGGCAGTAAATTCCCTTTGACAGGTGGCAGTGTAAGTAAGTAGGTTTGCTAATGCTAGCTACTTAGCGTTCAGTTACGTCCAACGAAATGACAAAACACCATAGCATGCTAACTAGCCGAGCAGCTACTTACATGCTACTTTTTGTATGACCCACACGTTGATCCCGATTTCCAAGAACCACAGAACAGAAACGACCAGTAACGTGTACTCCGTCTTGAACAAGACCAAATGTTTGTCCTGCCACAGCGTCTGAAGTTTCCCCCACAGCGGGGCCGGGGCACCGGGACACTTTCTCCGCACACCTCCTGCCATTGTCGGCGGCGCAGCGACGTGGAGAGAGGCCGCAACTGACATGCGCTGTTAGGGTTCGTCACGTGACGCAACACTTTCATCACCTACGTCACGTGACATGGCAACACCGAAGATGTCAACTTGAGAGATTTCTTTTTCTGCCAGGTCAAACAAAAAACGATTTTTTTTATTATCCTTACTTGCTTGTTGAGACATAAATGCTCCTTTGCGTGAGTTCTTGTTTCTCTTATAGGTGGCTAATGCTAAGTTGTAAAAAAAAACAACGTTTAGAGGTCACTACTTGTTCCCCAGCGGTCCTAGCACCGTTAGCTGGCTAGCTGCTAACTCTAGCTAACCAATATTTAATACAGAAAATAATGTCACTAAAATACGTAAAGACAGTATTATTGATTTTAAGCTGTGATTGCTGTTTTGCTAGGAATTCAAAGTAATAACAAGCTAGTTAAAGTTAGAGTTATTGCTAACGTTATATTATTAGTGTTAGGTGTCTCAGAGATCTCGGCTTTGTTTACCTTCACATTTTAGGTTTGTTTTTTGCAGTTTTGTCTGTATGCAGGTATGTTAACCCCCCACTTCTAAATGGCCAAGTCACAGAGTCTAATGCTAAAATAATTGACATTCTTGGAAACACCCAGAAGGTTGTTAAACAACCTGTTCTCCTGGTATTTCCAGAATGCCTGAAGCATTTAGACATAATTATTTGTGGCGGTCCTATGTCGACCCACAGTCATATCTTGAATGTCAACACTAAGAAGTTACACGTTAAACAGCTGCCAGTTCATAAATGAAAGCAGTAAACTCAGGCAAGTACCACAGTGCTGTAAAAATGTACATATACCACTTTCTTTCTTTTCTTAATTTTTATTGATAGCATAACATTACTCTTATTGTTTATATCTTGTGGTCTGTGATGTCATTGCTCATGTTTCTTGACAACAGTGAAACTGGATGATGCATATTCCTCAGACGACAACCTTATATGTGTTATTTTACTGACTTAAATTTGGGTTAACAATGATCAACTGAAAGCATTATGAAAGAGCTGTACATTTGCAGAATTATACACCACTGAATGTTGCAATGCATTGAATCATACTCTTTAAACACACACAGCAACATGCACATTGTTGTTGTCCTCATAAAAATGAAAGGATTGTAAATGACTAATGCAATATTTATGGAATCAAGATATTGCAGGAGCCTGTATCACAATATCTTATTGAATTATTTCTATTACATACCTCAGTTCAATCAGTACTAAATGCCTTTTACTGTAAATATATCATAGACTATGTCAGTAAAGGATGAGTCTTGTACACGTGTGTTTATAGTGAAACAATTTATTAACCATATAACATATTATATGTTTGTGCAGGTCTGCAGTGACAGGACAACCAGAGGGAATGGATAGATTTCCTGTGAACGTTACAGAGGCAGTGTGTCTTGGGGCCAGCCTTACCATATCAGGCCTCTGCTACTACCTCTATAAAAAGAGCCGGACGACAGTACATAAACTTGATGTTAGTTGTGGATTGTGTGTAATGAACATCATTTTAACTTTTCATCACAGTTTAGATTTTTTTATTTTAATTTGTCTAAGCTATAGAAAGGAAGTGGATTAGTAAGATAGATAGATAGATAGATAGATAGATAGATAGATAGATAGATAGATAGAAATACTTTATTTATCCCCGAAGGGAAATCATAGTGTTATAGCAGCTGATTCAGAGTCAGAGTTGTGACACCATGTAAAAAAAGTTAACAAAAACAACAACATACACATACTTCCTAAACCCTCTGTAGAAAGATCAACACTTTGTGCTTTGTAGAACACCTCGTCACAAGTTGCATATAATATTTAATTTTATTGGAACCGGTGCAATATGTGACAGTTTTTGCGATGCACTGTGCACTGTTGTAAAACCTGTCTGCTACAGTATGTATACTTCACATACAAACAGTGTGTGTCTTGTGTTGTCAGGATGCTCCACACTTCACCATAGATGGCAAACTCAAAGACATTTTGAAAGTTACTCCAGGAGCATGTCTAGAGTATGCTGTCATCGAAGGTAATAAGGCTTTCACTGTTACTGATACAGACAAGAGCACATGGCATATTTTTCCCGCTGAAAATACACATACCATCTTTGTCTCTTATTCTCTGCTATATGTGTATATACACTGCAGGTGCTGTGGAACCAGTGGGCGAGCCTCTGATGAGTCACTTTCAAAAAGAAATTGTCGGAGTGTTGCAGAAATTCATGTTGAGAGAACACAGGCTGGTGTGGAACAGCCTTTCACGTTCTTGGTGAGAACGTTATCAAAACAGTAATACAGGGCAGCATTATGATACCATGTGTGATTTATGTGATAATTGACAGTTTAGAGGCAGACAGAAGATGAGAGAGAGAAAGGTATGACATACAACAAAGTTTCCCATTTGGAGTTGAACCGGGGACGTTCCTTTTATGTGGTAGTGGTATGTGTAGTCTTAGTCTTAGAGTACATAGGAAGGAAGAAAAACACAGCTGCACTGGCCTCTATGGGCTGAAATACGTAAGTCTCCTGGACCCAGCTGTGTAGAGTGTTATTATAGTGTCATGGTACGTCATTGCTGCACATAGTGTTGAAAAAGCACATTACCTCTATTAGTTGTCAGAGCAGGCCAGATTTTTAAACTGGGTGAAGAGATTCTTTAATCAGGATGCCCCACATAATAAATGCTGAAAACAAATCTGATAAAAACCACAGTTTTATTCCCATTTTATACAATGTGGTGTTGACTAAGAAGACCTGTGATGTTCCTCCCTCCACCTGTTGCAGGACAGACAGTGAACGAGTCATGCACCAAAGAGTGAATGCAGTGCCCTTTGTGTTAGTGGGATCAGATGAGACCACAGTGAAAGTCCTGTGCCCACTGCAGGCCTCCGGACAACACATGGAGATCACCCACGAGAAGTTCCACCAGGTCAACTATGGCTTGGGTGACATTGTAGGACAATACCTGAGTGGGGAGAAGCTTAAAGGGCAACTGGAGACCGAGGAAATGCTCAAAGTCAGTTGTTAGATCAGATACTAACATTGTTAACGGCAATAAGTCAGTAAATCATTCATATTCTTTTGACAATGTATTAATATTTTTTTGCCAACCATGAGGCCAAATATTGACAAAAAATGATCTTAATGATACATTTTATAAATATTCCTCTCTTTTTCCAGGTGGGCACAGCTCTTACAGGCGTAGGTGAGTTGATACTGGACACAGACGGCACCCTGTGTCTTCGACCGCCTTCTAATGGTTCACAGTACTTCTTGAGCAGTGCGGACTTTGACACCCTGCGAGGAGAGCAAGAGAGCACGGCTGTTTGTTGGAAGGCGCTGGCCATTGCCTCTGCAGTGGTGGGAGCAGCGGTCCTCTTCTGGGTCGGTCGACGGTACTACTACCGACTGAAAGTTCGCTGGGAGCAGGAGCAGGAGAGGAGAGAATTCGAGAGACTTCAAGATGAAACCCCAAGAACGCGCACTTCAGTGATGGGCCTTGACGCCTCTCAGAACGGGGTCGAGGAGAACGTAGAGAATGCCTGTGTTATTTGCCTCTATCGGCCACGTAACTGTATTCTGTTGGACTGTGGACATGTGTGCTGCTGCCACAGCTGCTACCAGGCCCTTCCACACCGCCGGTGCCCCATATGTAGACAGCAGATCAGCAGAGTGGTCCCTCTCTACCATGTCTGAAGCACCTGTGTGACCGTATGACCTCAGTGGAACTTAATCACCATACAAACTGAGCCAGCTTTATACCTCACAGGTCTAAGCTGCTGCACAACGGTAACACTCTGATAGTCTTGTTACTGTAAAGAATAAAGACGTTTTTTAAAGGACATACTGTATGTATTAATAAACTGTTAATTTAAGTATGGTGTGCACATGCTCTGTTCACTACAGAGTTTCAGTGAGGTAAATTTTAGTTGTAGTTGTACATAGGAATACCAGAAAATTAAGAAATTGGAAAAAAGGGTTAACTTATGCAATAGAAATGTTTATTTTCCTACATGTTTGTTCTGTGCCTTAATCTGGTAATTTATATGGCTGCTGCTAAGAGTGATTGTACTGTATGAATCTGAATAAGTCGAAACTTTCAGTTACATATCGCACGAGTCACTGGAGGTTAGTGAAATAAAGATACATTTAGTGCCAAGATGACGCTTCAGTGTGGAATTAATGCACTAGAGACCGGTGAGTGTGTATAATGTTTGTTTGTTAAAAAAAAGTAGTTGTGTATTTTGCTTATCTCGGTATCACCATGGAGAAGTGGGGATAAATTGCTCTGCCACTTTTCAAATTTGTTTCAGAAATAGAGAGGTAAATACAACTTTAAGTCTCAGTATACAGATCTGTGTGAGGCTAACATGTAATAGTGCATTATGCTCATGTCTGATTGTACAGATCTTATATGAGTTGGTGTTCCGCCTGCCTGCCTCTCTGAATGATCCACAGACATCTGAATAACAGCTGGTATGTCAAATGGCTGCTGCTCCCCTTAAACATTAGAAAATGTGTTCATGTCTGAATAGATACACGTGTTTACCAGGACTCAATTTATGATGTTTTTTTTTCTATTTTTCCATAGGCACAAATGCTTGTTGACAGCACCTGGTGTCTGAAAAGACCTGGGTGTAGTGAGTCATCAAGCCTACTATTTCTGTCATCTTTAACAAGCAGTGAGAAAATGTGGAGATAGGGCAGATAGATGAAAAGCCACCTACAGATTTTTTTTTTCTCTCAGCAGTAGCACAGAAAGGGAAAAACATGGGCGTGTGTGTGAGGGAGGGGGGGTGTAGTCGGGCAGTGCAAGGTGAAGAGAGGGGCATCAGCCCTGAGTGGGGGGTGAAAAGGGAGCAGGTGGGAGACACAGGACCCTATAAATCTTCCACAACGGTCATAAGGGTTCACTTGGACAAATTCTTCATGAGCTCTCTCAGCAGAACAGCAGCTGTGGTTCTCGGGGAACAGACTATTACTGTATCATTCACAGACCTCTGAGGGGCTTGTAGAAAAATAACAGTGGCATTTGATTTGTTCGTTCCAGTTTAACTGAATAATTGAGTAAAAAGATAAAACAGCAGAAGAGTGACAGGAATAATCTTATAAAGCCCTGGAGAGAGTGAATTCTATGAAAATGAGAGTAAAATGTGTAAATATACTCTCTGTAATGTATTCACAGTTTATATAGAGATAAAGCTTATTTTTCTCTTTGTCGCCATTGTCTTTGTTCAATTACTTTAGGCCTAATTTAGGCTTATTTCACCATATCTGACTGGCTTATGATGAAATATACAACCACTAGGGGTCCATGTTTCTTCACTTAGGGTATTGAACTGTACTGCTGACAGTGAGGGAAGACACTGATTCCAGGGGATGGTTTCCATGTCACATGCAATTAATCTATGCAGTGATATCCTGTTAAATCCCTTGTGATAGCTGACAAACAATTTAGTTGATATAATTATTCTCTAATTGGCTGTGCTTCATGGTGCAGACCCTGATTTGTGATGATGAGTGCAGACAGTGGTGGTAAAGTCAGGTAAACACTGGTGTGTTTATGAGGAGTACAGATTTGAAATATTTAATGGAAGCATTGGCTAATTATTATGACTTGTAATGTTGTCAAACTAACCTCATGAAGTTTTTAGGGATGTCTGTCAGTTGGTCCAACCCAGTACTTTGGTCCAGACTGTCAACTATCAGAATCAGAATCAGAATCAGAAATCAGAAATACTTTATTGAACCCTTAGAGGATGAATCGTAATGACTTTGGCAATCCACTGACTTTTCCTCTAGCACCCCATGAGGCTCTGTGGTTTGAGAAATGTCTCAACAATTTGGTACAGACATTCATGTCATCCTCAGGATAAATTGTCATAAGATTGCTGATCCCAAAGATCTTAAATTTGTCCAGTAGTTTGTGGTTTGTGACCAAATACCTGCAAAACTAATGACATTCCCATCTGCCTCAGCTGTACTTTTTGTTCAGTGCTAATTAGCATGTGGTTTAAAGCATTTACAGCATGGCTGTAGGCTCAACAGTCTTGATAAAATGATGTATCCAGATACTATCATCTTTTACTGAAAGTCATTTTTGTGGTATCAAATGTACAAATGTGGTATCCTGTTTGGATTTATTCATTTGTTCAGTAAATGGTCATGAATTTATTTTGTGTGGTGCTGTCTTGCATCCAAAGAGTCAGCCAACCAACAGCAGATGGAGCCAAATGCTGTATTAAACAAACAATAGAGTGAAGAATGGAAATGGCATGGCTCCAAATCTGCAGGAAAAGTTTGGATAAATCTTTAAAATCCTGGCACACCATGACCTTATGTGTTTGTGTACGGGTGGAAGGGTCTTTTTGACTTTGGCATTAGCAGACACTCAGCAGACAGCAGGAGCAAAGGTAGAGATGCGGTATCTCAGGAGAGAGAGCCATCACAGCATGCTACAGTCCCTGATGCCAATTACCGCTGTCACCCATCTGCTTTGGGCATGCAGTGAAACGTGGGATAAGTGACCTACTTTGTAACAGTAGTGTGACTGCAGTGCTTTTCCCCTCATCAACAAACCAAGCGCTCCGTCCCTGAGGAGGGAGGGAGACAGGGATGGTATCATAGGGAAATGCACACTGGTCAGATATATGGATCTTTCTGTTTGGCCTTTCAGTTTGAGCACTGTTTTTACAGAGCTCATTCACCTAGCCGAGGATTCTAACTGTGAATCAAATGGAGGAACTGTCCAAATCTTATCTGGTAGAGGATGTATTTCTAATCAGAAACTAAAATACAAATAGATAGATCCTAAAACACATTTACATACTTAAAGGTTTCCTGCCATGGAGAAAATGTTGGTTTTATCTGCTTAGGTTTTGAGATATCAGTCTTTTCTGGGGTAATCCACTGTCAACTCTTATTGGGACTATTTCCTCAGTTGAAAGTTAAGTGACAGTGAGATTTGTGGTTATTCAGACTTTTACTTCATATTTTACTTGCACAGCCCTCCAATATTTTGCATTAATTTATGTTTTTGCCATTTGGGTGCATTAGCTGGGAACACAACAATGACAAAGTATCGCTGTAACTATGTGAATCTGTAAGTTTCAATTACCAGTTTACACATCCAAGAAGCTTGGAAGGGACATCAGCATTTACTTGGAGTCGTGTTTCTGGTATTTTTGCTTGTTTGGTCTCCTCAAACTGAGAAAAATATCTGGCTCTTTAGCTGCTAAATTCTCCTGTATGTTTACCAGCTAGGCTCTATCTTTGTCTGTCTGCTGTTTTGTGATGAGCAGGTAGTGTTCCAGTGAAAACAGCTGCCTGCTGCTGCTGGGAACAATGCTGATGAGAGTGGCTAGAGGGAACCAAAACAGTGAAGCTGTGGCTGTAAAAGATGGGAAAATGCTAGGAGCTACAGCCAGTGGTGGTACCCATATTGAGATCCTTTACTTAAAATGCACTAGGAAAATACTCTTTCATAAGTAAAAATGCTCCATTCAAAAAAGGAGCTACTCATTATGCAGAAGGTTTCCTGTCAGCATTATATTATTATGTTATTGGATAATTATTCGTGGTGCATTAATGTTGTGGCTGATCAAAGTGAAGCTAATTTCAACTGCTTTATATACGTTTGGGTAATTTAAACATTAACAATGCACCATATTTTATAAACTGATCATGTGTTTTGTATTCACAATCTTAATCGGAACTGAAGTACAATATATCCCTGTAAAATGTAGTGGAGTCAAGGTATAAAGTAGCATAAAATGGTACAGTGCTTGAGTAAAAGCCACACTTTAATACTCCTCACATCTGCCCTGTCATCCAAATAAAGAAATGTAAAAAATTGGAGAGGAACTCACCCACAGACTTCACTAGCATGGTACTAAACACGATGCAACATTCACCTTTGATCACAGCTTTGGCCTCCCCTGGGAATGAGGTGCGGGAGGCGGAGCGTACAGCTGCCTCGGTGTAGCTTCAGCATACTGCAGACTACAGCTGTGAGCTTTTCTATCTCAGCTGTGTGCTCACTGATCCAAGGGCAGGAGATTTGCCAACGTTCCCACAATCTATTGGAGGATGTTTATGCAGGAAGACAAACAGCATTAATCTTCATGAGGAGCGGAACAGATATACGCTGTGTTTTATTTGGTCAGTGACTGCAGATGGTGTGTGTCTCTTTGTCCTCTCAGTTACATTTTTAGTTTTCCTGAAATATATACCTGCACACACAAATCCTCAGCTCTGATACTCAGGGAATTGATCCTGGCTCTTAGCTCTAGGCTCGTTATTGGGAGGAACATAGTGTGTATATGCAATGTGTGTGTTTGTGTGTGTAAATTCAGCAGTGCTTGGTCTGCTGGAGGGGAGAGATGGGGAGGGGGTGAGTGACTCAGCAAGGTGATTCATTTGTAATTGGAGGCAGTGCTTTGAGAGCACACACACGCGCGCGCGCACACACACACACACACACACACACACACACACACACACACACACACACACACACACACACACACACACACACACACACACACACACATATTTCTTAAGGGTGGGTGCCCTTGTCAGAGATGAATGAGTGATTGAGTGAGTCTGATCATTAAGAACTGCTGCCTGCTTAAAGAGGCAGAGATGGAGAAAGAGAAAGAAGGGCACAGAGGAGGAGAAATCACAGCATGTGGGCTGAGAGAGATCAATTGAACTAAACAGAGACAGACCATATGAGGAGTCACTGCACTTAAGCATGCTGGGTAGCATGGACAAGGTGGTCCATTAAGAGGAAAGAAAGAAAAGCGTCCAGTTGGGATAACACAACATGCATGTTTCTTGTTTCACCTGGTACCATGTGGGGCAGCAGGTCAGGTTTTCCCCCCATAGTCTCTGCCTGTGTCGCTGACTGATGACATCATGTGAAATCCCACCATGAATCAAGTGCTCTGCGTGTTGACAGCTGGAGGCTGCAGTTTATTGGGCAAGAGGAGCTTTGTGAGTCATCCTTGGGGAATTACATTCAGATAAAGTGGAAGATTTATGATTTCCGATGTATGATATATAGCCTTAAACACTGAGTGTGGATCCTTGTTAGGGAAAAATCATACTTGAATAAAGATGCCTCCAAAGATGTTGGCTGCATGTTTTCATAGTAAA